ATATATATAATCAGCAGTTAATGAGATATATATTATGATGACGTTTTTACTCACTGTTATTAATACTAAATTTCAAAAACAAATTAGGTGCTGTAAGAATCAGTGTACGAATGGTTGGTTCACAAGGTTTTATTCGTCACGATATCGTTTTTGCAATCGTTTGCGAGCGAGTTGATGAGGTATTAAACAATATCAAGTTTTGATAAGTCTTCTAAATGACTTATCATTACAATTTTTAGAATCATAATTATAACAGTAATTCATCAACGCACGAAGACTTTCATCTAAAATGAAATAATTTAGCTCTACCCATGGTATGGTATTCCAATGGGTATTGCGGAGATGGAACGAGAAGACTGTTATTATAGTCATCTATTTGATCCTGTTGTCGATGCCGAATCTCTTTATACTTGTAGACCACGAGAATACATATCTGGTGTGACTCGTTTATCAGATACTAGGTGAATTAACGATTTTCCAAATAAGACGTGATCTGTTTAATGACCATAAAGGAGACATAATTTTAACTACTCTTAGAGTACAAGTGTTGTGCTGCCGTTTACGAACTCGCGATGAAGTGAACTGTGAAGAGAAGGAGTTCATTAAGCCAATCGGATCAGATCCACGATCGGAAATATATCATCGTAACAAGCTTATCAACTCTATTGCTGTAGAAGGAAACAGTTACAGAGTACGATTCTGTGATCTTACTGCAAGAGCTATTGGTCTGTTTTAAATATCTCGCCAAATACTTGAAGCAATGCAATTTTTTTAATACTAATATTTTGATTTTAGATTTCTAAAGCCTCAAAAATGCAAGCAGTTTCTTATAAGTATAATATTTCAAAATACTCAAAAAAAAAGAAGCAAAAACAATATAGAGTTACTTAAACTGCGATTCTTTTTCAATTGAAAAGGAATCAGTTCTTATACCACAATTTATGCATATTAAATTCTGAGACTAATATTTTGCATGGCAGGATTAATATTTGATGATACAACGACTACAACTGTCAGCAGAAATCCAGAACATCTAGAAACTACAACCCCTACTTCCAAAATTAGTACATCCACCGAACCACTTTCAAAGAAAGAAATTATAAAAAATGGTGTGTTTTCCGTTGATCATCATAAAAACTCTATTTTCAAAAAATTCAAATGATTGCTACAATAAATTAAATGGTATAATAGTTGTTATAGGACAAATTTTAATACTACTTAAGTATCAGCCATGTAAAAAATTTGAAAATATCTCATAAAACAACAGTTTTACCTAATCCAAGATGTTATTCGAGTATTTTGGCCAAGTACCTTATATAGCTTTGGAGAAGGTGATCTGCATATGTGGGATACGAATACTCATCCATTTGTAACTAATAATTATTCTAAACGTAGTTAATCTGAATTTTGTTCAAATTGGAAAGAAATTTTGGCACACTTTTCAGCTTTTCATTATGTTATAAAGACCACAAATTAATTCATTAATGCATGCATACATGACAAAAGAGTATGGGAATTAAATCAAAAACTGAGAGCTAGATTTTTACAAACCTTTCAGTATGCGCATATGTATGATCCAGTTCTTTTCATAATAAAATTTCTCATATTTTTTATTTTTTAAATGAAAAACAAGATCATAATAATTGATTACCTTAAAAATTTTTTAATTTTTGTTTGATTAAAATGATTCTGTAAAAGGATTACAGTTCTTGAGTATACCCCTGAAACCAATCTATTGTTATCAACAAGAAAAGTATCGAAAAAAAAGCTTTCAACGTTTATGGATACAATGAGACCGAGTCAAATTACCGATTGGTGAGTTTTGCAACCAATTAAATTACTAGCCAGCGCAAAACTAATTAAATTTTTGGTGATAAATACTGAAGTAAATGTGTTAATCAGTTGCTGATAACTTCGTTGTTTGCAACTTTTAAATAAAAACAATTAGTACAGGTGCAGTTGCAAGGAAATCGAATAAGTCAAATTAAAACAAACTTTGTTTCACCTATGATGGCAATTTCCTTCACTGAACTGGGAAATTTAGGATGAACGATGAGATAAACAAGCGACACTTGGAAGCGTCTTTGGTTTCAGTAGCTCCATCGAATATTACTCAAGTAACTTTATTTTGGCACAAAATATTTCTGATTTTAAAATTTTGCTGAGATTTGTACTTAGACTCTAGAATGTATTGTGAATTACATAAAATAAGCACAGGAAAGACGCAATATTGACTTGATGGATAAGCAAATCCCGAATCATTCTACGTCAGATGACTCAGATGTATTTAGCAGTCTTTACAATGAAACAACTTATCGGTCGAATTTTATCACTTCAAAGCTGAGAACTACAACTTCTGCATCATTAATTCTTTTGAAACCCCTAAGTTCTAAAGGAACAGCAAAAAATAATGTAAGCTTTTTTTCTTGAATTTTTTAACAGTATGAACGGTGGATTGTTTAGTAGTCTAAATGAGAAATCGATTTAGATTTGAGCAGCGAAATACAATATTAATCACTTTTGTATTCACCAAAAAAGTTCTGCATTTCTTATTTAATTAGCAGCTTGAGACGTCTAAAAGCACAAAAAATTAAGAAATTAAAATATGAGAACAATTTTTGGTCAAGCAGATTATGACGAAGACAAGTGCAAGGCAATCGACAAAAGAAACGTTCAACCCATCTCTTTCTAATTCTTCATTGAAAAGAATAATCGAGACAACAATGCCATCAGTTCTTTTCACAGATTTCACAGAAAGCTTTTTTGCATCCAGTAAGCCGATAAATATGGATCGCTCTGATGGATCATATATCGATGAAGACACTAATTACTCTCCATTTGAGAATGAAGAAAATAATCCTGTATACGATGACGAGGTTAGATAGTACTTGCAGTAGAACTTCTGAATTATAAAGTATGTTAGAAAAATATAAGAAAGAATTGCAGTTCACTGATATTCAATTATGTTTACTATGACATAGTAACAATCTTACAGGCTCTTGAAACAAAAGATTCATCATCATATACATCAGTTAACCCTCTCGATCTAATCTCATCACTAGCTGACAGTTTTCCATACAAAATTTCAAACGAAATTCGGCGTGCTCCTATTAAACCAAGTAAGTTTTGCTTATTTGCATTATTCTTTATCTGTGATAATCTGAATACTCTACGGAAATAAGAGAATAATTTCTGATAACTATTATGAAAGATTAAAAAGGATTTCCAATGTTCTAATAATATTTAGAGCGAAAACAAATTGGAGCAGCATATCGTGAATTTAAAGGTTACCCAAGTAAGCCAACAAACAAGTTGGACCATGAATTTAATTTTCCATCCTTTGGTGATGAAAATATTGGTTGGTTTTGACTTATATATTTTTCTGTGAAAATTAAATTAGTTTATACATATATGCATTTGAAGAAAATTTTATTTCAGATTATTTTACTGATATTTACACGTCCGTTTAAGAATCAAATACGTGTTGATGTTTGCAGTAACAATATGCTTATTTAAAAAAAATGGATATAATACTAGTTTCCATCGAATTGATTTCACTGACTGTCTAAAACATAACTTTATAGAAGCTGACATAGATTATGGAGAAAGTGACTTTTTAATGAAAAAATCCGCTGATGGTAGTCGAACGTACGTACCTGAGAAGGAAGAACCTCTAACACCATCTGGTATGTATGACAAATATTCTATTAATTATACAACTGAACAAAATTTTCTATACCTGAAAATTTAAAAGGTTCTATAATGCGCTAATCTCTTGAGTACTGATTAACAAAGCATTATTTATTTCTATATGTTATTTATTATTATTTTTATTACTGTTAATTACTGCTACTATTAATAACATGCTTGTTGTAAACATTTGTAGCTGTTAAACTGAAAATTACTTAAGCGTTTGCATTGTACAACAAAAGTACTCAAAATGATGCTTTTGAAAGTCAAAAAAAGCAAGAAGACATATTAGAAGACAATGAAAAGGATGATATAAATGATGGTAAAAATTTACTAAACATTTTAAAACAAAAAAGTGAACAGCACTCATTTTGTCCTGTCAAAATAATTTTTTAAGTATTAAAGCAAAAAATGTAAATTTTTTTTATAGGCTCGTAAATGATTATCATTTAAAAAAAATGAACTTTCTCGTTATCAGCATTTTTTTCTGAATCAGTGCAATATAGTGAATTTTATATCATAGTGACTTAAAGAGTTTCCTTTTTGAACTTCATTCAGAAAGATTTCAATAAGTCAGCTATGTAAACCTCTTATTTTCATTGATAATTACTCGCTAGAGAATAAATGGACTGAATTTAAATATTTTGACCACTTTATGAGATGAATTTTGTTTGAATAAATGAAAAAAGAAGTTTATTTAAGATTACTGAGAAGTTTACTTTTAGAATGCTTATAAAAAGTGTAAAAACATATCAAATGAAATTGTTAATCTTGTATTCATAAAAAAAACACGTGGTACAAAGTTTTCCTTCACTTTATCCAGAAGTGGTACTTATTTATTGAATATTTATCATGCGAAAGATATGATTTTATTCTTCCTTACTTCATTTTAACTTATCCAAGCTATGAAATATGCTTTATTAACGTTGCTCAAAAGGCACTCTACATCTTGTGTTCATGTATAAAATTTTAGATACCAACAAAGAACTATTACGAATGGATAGTGAAGATATTGATTCTATAACAGCAGATATAGATAATCTGCCGCTAGTAGCACTTTCTTCGACTGTTTCAAGTGAACAAGAGCATTTGAAAATTCCTGCTATTGTTAGACATGTTATTTAATATTACAATATTTAAATAATTTTGTTTGTTACAAATTTAGGTTGAATTCATGTTAATTACCAAGTAGTCATGGCATTATCTACTTGATTTATGTATCTTTTTAGACATCATTAATTCTAGACCATCAATCATAATTCGAGTTCGACAGAAGCAGAAAATATGCCCAATTTCGAATTAGAGGATGAAAATTTTTATGATCCAGCAACTTTTTATCGCACACCATCATTGAAACCACTATCTCCAACGGAGAAAGGTACAAACGTCTATTTATATTATATGCTAGCTGAAAATAAACAGATAAATCAGTGAAATTTGAATTACAAATGATTTTTTATAGTCATAACAATACACTGTTAATTACCAGTACATAAAAATACCGATCACAAAATAATGCTTTCATTTATAACAATGCTATCAGTTTAGTAGCATTTATAGTGTTAACATTTTGTACGAAGGAGATAGCGATTCGAGATCGGCACAATTTAGTAATTGCATGTGGCGGTGAAACAGAAATTTGGCAGCCATTTCGATGTCCTGAAGGGAGTGAATGCTTTTTATCAGCTGATTCCAGTTATCGAATCTGTTGTGCAGTAGCGGAAGCTGCTCATTACGCTCGCTGATTGTAGATTTAAAAATTTATCTTGTTACAAATAAATCTATAAATTAATACTATTAAGTTGTTTTTGTCACTTAAGCTCTACATTAAAAAAAAGTTATCATGCAGTAACTCTTATTTATAATTTCTATTACATATTTATTGATCCCAATACATAAATTTTACTACATGGCATTCTACCAGATATCATTCCTGTAATTATCCACACTTTTTTTATTTGTACAGTTGTTCAATTATGCAGTAACTATTATTAGAATGCAGTTTTAATTATTTGTAAATAAATTTCACTGCAAAAGATAAGTGACCTTCACTCAACCTTTGTTTATTTTTCTGCACACTAATATTTTATGATACTTTACCACGCAACATTTTACCACACAACTTTACCACACAACATTTACTGAGTGTATCTACTTAGTTTTGAAACAAAAATTGAAAACTTAATTCAATACCTTGATTCCTCTTCGTTTCACACATCAGAACCATTTGAAATGGCACAATTTTTTGAGTACATTATTTTTGAAATTTTTCTAATCTCACATATTTGATGAATAAAATGCAAAGACACAAGATAAATTATGCTAGTATGGAAATAACTAAAGTAACTAGTAAACTATATTTTTGGAAGCGCAAATGTAAGTAGAATCTATTTTTTGCTGCTTCAACTTGTTCTTGCCAGCGAAAGGATGATTAATGATTTCATATGATTCAATAAGATATTCGTAATTAATCATTTCATGCAGCTTTTAAGTTTCTATTGCGACAATTGTGGATTATAAATTAAGATTTTATTACATTTAATAAAATATATCGCACTTGCGATAAATAATAGCCTTAAATATTTTGTACTTTTTTGCATTAGAAGTATAAATGAGTAAACTAGCCTGAAAATATTTGATGGAAAGATTTAATAATACAAAAATTAGATAAGTATGCATCTATTTTTGTTGCCGTAATGTTCATTTAAAAAATCATTTATTTAAATAGTAATCTAGTTCAGAACATTGGAAACAAATCAACACCAACGTCTTGACAATAACTACTTCGAGAGTGCTATGGAAGGAGAGCAGTTTACGGAAATGCATGATAAAATAAGAATCTATTCTAACAATTACTGTAACTTTAATATCACTGGAATGAATCTTAATATGGAAGTTGGCTACAAAACTACTAATTATATTCGAAAAAAGAAGTATAGAAAAATGAAATGGAGAGAGATACGAAAAAATCTCAAAAATGAATCACGCATCAAAATCATCATATAGATATCACAATAATGATAAAGTTAAAATGAATTATGTAGGTGAATTTCTACAATTGCCAAAGCATTCACTTACTTACGTTCAACAATTTCAATAAAATATTTTTGACGTAACAGAATGATCTGTGATATACAAATTTGAAAACCAAGAACTTTACATACCAAGTTAAATTGTGCGACAAAAATTAAGAGTTGTAATATATTTGTTTCATCTGCTGTAGTTTATTTTAATTTTATTTCACTACAGTATCTAATGCTTGGCTTCTTTCAATTTTGCATTAAAGTTAAGTCTTCCCCATCAAATACAATTTATTATTCCTCAAGATGGATATCAATAATCTGCTAGTCGTATTTATGTAATTTACTGTAACGCTCGTCTGTTTCAATATAAAAAAATTCAGGGATGGATATATTTGTAAGGAGTGAATAATGTAACAAATGATGAAGTATCATCTCCTTACGAAATATAATCTACATGAAATCTACTTTTATTTCCCATAAGGATATAAAGGTGTGTATCATCGATTAAAATATCATACTTATTTATAAATTTTATGTAGAAGTTCATTAGCATCTTTAGATATGTGCGTATGGTATGGCTGCTAAATTTCAAGTATGAACTGCTTAAAAGTTGGAGCAAAGCCGACAGAATGTTTCAAGAACGATAGCATTAGTTGTGTATTATGTAAAAACATTTTAAAAGAATGTTTATTAGAGTATAATTGCGAACTTATATAAAACATAAACACAATCCAAAATCAAATACATGTTATGTAGAGTGAGAATATCGTATGTATAAAAAAACTTGAAAATATGTACCAACATGTTCAAAATACAATTTGAAATATGTACAATGCTTAATTAAAATAATAAGACAAAAATATATGAATCTAGGTTATCTGCAAAAATTACGAAGAAAGGCAGAAATGGCTTGAGTTAACCAAAAATCACAATATGCATTAACATATATTATAACATGAATAACACCAAAAAATATAGAAAAAATTATAGAGTTAAACGGATTGAGAAGATACATTTAAATGAAAGGGATTATTTCTTTCAATAAGCGATGATAAAAAACCAAAATTACAAAATCATGTTACTACAAGAATCTTCCAAAAACAGGCTTAATATTTAAAAATTAATTCACAAAACCATGTTACAACAAAAATCTTCTACACATGGTCGATACTTCAAAAAATAAAACTTCCCAAACCATGTTCTTCAAAACCAATTGCCGAAAATCGTGTTACTACAAGAATCTTCCGGCGCAGCGTTGATGCATTAAAATTAAACTTTTAAACTCATGATGATCTCCCACAGCAATTGCTAAAAATCCCGTTACTACAAGAATCTTCCGCTACAGCGCTGATATATCGAACTTAAACTTCCAAAATCATGATAGTTTTTTAAAACCAACTGCCAAAAATCATGTCGCTGACAGGGGTCTATCGATAAGGAATACTGCTATTTATTAGCAGTAGTAAAAAGAAGAACCGCGCCTACTCGCTTCGACCCCTGACTGATGATGACAACTGAAAATGATCAAAGAATTATTCTGAATCAATTCCGCTTGTTCAGATATTAGTACGAAGTAATCTCAGATAGAGAAACAATCGAACAAATTGTTTTATATTTTTAAAGGTATAACTTAATTTCAAAGGATGGATGCGAGTAGCGAATATCAAAAAACTAAAAACAGACCAAAACCTACTACCACAGAATTAAGCATTCCAGCACACAGATGTCGGTCTGCATATTACTTGAAAATCATGTAGCTCATAAATGAGTAGCTACTTCTCATAGTGTACGATGTATCATTTTTTTAAATCGACAAAAGTTATATATATTCTTGCTATATAATTTAAGAAGAAATTTTCGATGCCAATTTCAGACCAACTGATCAATTGTTCTACTACTAACTAACACCAATGACAGCTACCAAAGCCCCAAAGAAATGCTGAAAGGTGTAATAAATCATTAGAAGAAAAATCCAACAATCCTTGAATTTAATGCACACCCCACTAATATTCAGCAGTTAACTACAAGCATGAAAAGTGGACACTGACGCACGAAGGCAACGGCAAACAAGAAGCCAAGAGTCAGAGAAATGAAAGACTGAACGAAAATAGAACAGTTGTACTTTCGGAAATTTTTCTGGAAACTTCTATGACACTTTATAATTCACTTCAGAACCTATTACACATATTTCAGCTCAACCATTTTCAAGAATTTTGAGCTGTGAGAGTGGAAAGCAGTGCTTGCATTAGTGGAACGCAAGACGAACAATAACTATTTGGGATGAGTACTTTTCGTATTTGCTAAGTATTTATTTGCACGTTGCATTGTCTTAGATCACTTTCTTCATCTGCATTTCGCAACATTTAAGATTTAAAATTGCATTTCAACGTGCATATGAAAATGTATTTCAAGTTCACAAATGAACGTGACACGTGCCAATCACAGCCAATTTACAATCACATTAACAAACTAAAATATCAAAAAGCATTGAAATGGAGCACATATCCCATGCACGTGTGTAAACACTGACAAATATTTCCTGGCATTTAGATTTAAAAAATAAAATTTTTTACGAAATATCTTTCTGCAAAATTTGTCGCTGTTAAGACTCATATTACATATTACTCTCGTTACTGCATACGTTATTTAAGGTCACACCACGTGAGGATGATGGCATACACGTTTTGTGCTCTGACAAGCGCAAAATACATGGAAAATATTTCAAACATGCAAAGTATAATTTTTCAACCTATATGAAAATAAATTTGCAGTAAGCAATGAATTGTTCTGCGTTTGCATAGATAGACGAGTGGGTGTTAACAGATGTTAGCTTTTGTTTTGATATTTTTTGTTCCAAATTATGAGAAGAAATGTGTTTGACAAAGTCTGGAATGTAATCTGACAAGTCACGAGGATTTGATTTGTATCAATTTAAAGAGATTTGCATGATATCTGCCACAATCACTGAAAACTTTTTGATAAGTATTTGTTCACTGAATAATTATGCATCTTTCTGCAATACTAATGAGGAGAGAATGATTTTGGAGGCAAAATGAAGTAGAGAACAAAAAGTGAAATAAAGTGAGAAGACCGGAAGGACCATGTCCGTAAAGGTTGTATCACATTTTCTTAGACCAAATAAACATAGAAATGCTCAAGTAGCTTCAGGTGTAAGATGACATGAGCTGAGCGGTTCATACTAATAATACAGTAAAGTTTGTTTGCAGGCGTCGCAATAATGTGTAACGATAAGTATATGGAGGGCGAGGGTACTTGGAGTGGTTGGATAGGTTGCTACACCCAATTAAATTTATAAAAATGGTTTACTGAAATAATTTTACACTGAAAATTTATTGTACTTACTTTTGCTATTAGCAATTATTTGTTCGTATTGTAACGTTAAAGAAATGTTTATCATTAACAGGCATAGAATAGCGATGAAAAAAGTAATACCGAAAGATGAAATTCGTTTTAAGTCTAAAACTTTCTCGCACGCTAAACTATTCCTGTCCCTGCTCTTTCCTTTCAAAAACAGTATTCAGTCTTTTCTTTGATTTATGCACTACCTTCGACCCTTTTGAATAAGTGCTATGAAAGTGAATACATATTAAAACGTTCCATTTTTTATACTGCAAACCAAAAGTGCTTTGAGTTGCGATAAACCTTTGCAGTGCATAGAATTTCTATTCTGCCATAATTTAAGTCTTATTTGTCTTAAAATCGCTACAAGAATCATTATTCCATTTAAATTCATGAGCAGACTGATTCTTGGCTCCAACACTTCAAGTCTAATCATGACAGAGCGGAGCGCAACAAAAATGATTTAAATTTTTTCCAAAACTACGGCTAGTAAGATGCTTTGCAATATTGGGCCGCATTATTTCTATGGTTGACTTTATGAAATTTCAAAAGTGATGATGTACTTGGTTCCATTTTCTCTCGTCGATCCTGTCCACACCATACATTTAGCAAGTGTGTGCATTTTACGCTTTGTGTTTCGCAATATAAGTCATAACTTTTTCAATGTTTACTGCTGCATCTTTGCTGAAGCGTTCTCTGCGCAATAACAATTATTTTGCGTTGTTGGATAATTTTGCTGTTTTTCCTCAACAGTGTCCACATGTGAGTCTTGCATATCTTCTCAATTTAGAGAGTTTCAATAGTTCACATCTCTCTTGTCCCGTACTGAAATTACCCATATTTTGCAGTTTCGCCTATGCAGTTCTTCACCAGCCTTATCACATGTTTTTTTGAATATACCTGAAACACAGGTTACCACTCTACGGAATGGTTTTCGAATTGCTAGTGAAAATTCTCAGCTTCCTACCACCACGGTTTGTATTTCTTCTTGCAAACTTCATTGATTGAATGTTGTGTTGTGTAAATTTTTAAACTGAAGAAAATATCCTTGCTTCCTTGTATACGTTTTATTCTTTTAAATATCATTCATTTGTAAGCAATTGTTACTTTTTTTTCATTCCATAATTGGTACTCGTCCTTTGTTATTCCCTACTTCAATAACGGTTGCATTATTTGTTTTTCAAATGTGCAATAGTTTCTGTTGTTGCTGTTAATTGAAACCATATTTATTAAACTTGAAAATCATTCGTATCAATCAATAACAAAGTTTTTCAACATTTTTTTTATCTGTTGAAAAATAGAAATTTTTTAGGTAGGTATCTGGATAGATGCTGGAAGTAGGTTTGAAAATGATAGCAATAATGGTGTTGCCCATTTCTTGGAGCACATGGCTTTTAAAGTAAGGTGTTTTGTGAAATACCTCAGAACCTATGTACATTTCTTATTTATTTTGGTTTTTTCCAGTGATTCTAATCTTATTCCTATCGGTTTAAACCATTACAGCATTTTAAAGGGTACAATGAAACGTTCACAGACAGCATTAGAATTAGAAGTTGAAAATATGGGTGCTCATTTGAATGCGTACACATCTCGAGAACAAACAGTTTATTATGCAAAATGTTTTTCGTATGACGTTGACCATGGTTATTATAATCTACATGAGTCTTAATTATAATGAGAATTCTAAAAATTCTGAAGTTTAGCGACATTGTGTATATAAGTTAATGTCGTTATTGTTGATTACAAAAGCTACGTTAAAAATATTTGGAAGCAAAGATTGTTTTTATTGCTTAAACGTAATAGAAAGATTCGATGTCGAAAGTTAAAATCAATTGTATTTAATGAATAAATGTTTTTCAGTTGCTCTTTTAAAACACTTAAATTGGTTTGATTTTACAGCTGTTGAAATTCTTGCTGATATATTACGAAACAGTCAATTGAGGAAAATTGAAATTGAGCGAGAACGTGGTGTTATATTGAGAGAAATGCAGGAAGTGGAACAAAATTTACAGGAAGTCGTGTTTGATCATCTCCATGCCGGTGCCTTTCAAGGAACTCCGCTTGCTAGAACTATCCTTGGCCCTACTAAAAATATAAAGTGAATATTGTTTTTCTAAAAAATTTCATCTTCAAGAATAATTTTTTAAAGAGTTCAAGATTTTTTACATGAGCTTTTCATTCACTTTTATTTGATGATTGAATTTTTTAGAATTAGCTTTTGCACGCATTAAATGTATGCACAGACTAATTTGTCGTCCGTAATTGTTTTAGATCTTTACAACGGGAAGATCTTTTAAAATATATAAAGGAACATTATCAAGGACCACGAATGGTCTTGGCAGCGGCAGGTGGTGTTGATCATGAGAAATTAGTTGAGTTAGGCGAAAAGTATTTTGGAGACTTAGGTGGTATTGATGAAGCTTTTGTGGCTGAACGCGGGAAATTCACCAAAAGTTATGTAAGATATTTTTTACTTCTTTCTAGTACCAAGAACTGTTTTTTAAATTTTTTTCTAAAAATTAACTTGTAATTCACGCTTTTTCTGTGTACCAAACTTTATTGCTGTACTAGGTTCCAAATGTACTGATCGTTGTTTAGCAAGATATCCGAGATGGAAGAATGTCGATGGTTTTTGGTGCTCTTGCTGTTGAAGGAGCTTCATGGACTCATCCTCATAATATTCCTTTAATGGTTGCAAATACGGTGATTCATGTTTATCGCACTCAAGATTGATTTCTTTGAATCATACCAGTGCTCACTGTAATTATTATTTAGTTGATTGGACAGTGGGATCGAACAAGTGCTGTTGGGATTAATACACCATCACGTTTAGCGCAAAATTTGGGTTTAAATGCTCGTGTTCAATCGTTTCAAGCTTTCAACACTTGTTATAAAGATACTGGTCTTGTTGGTGTTTATTTCGTTTGTGAAGAAGGTGGTGCTCGTGCTGTTGTTGATAGCATTACGCAGCAATGGTGATATTTCGATCAAGTTTTTTTTATCTGCAGAAAAAAATGTTTTCCAAAAGGCTATCAAATTATTGATATTGCTAGGGTTGATTTATGCGATAATATAACTGAAGAGGAGGTGGTAAGAGGAAAACGATCATTATTGACCAATATGTCGCTTATGCTTGATGGTTCTACTCCAATTTGCGAAGATATTGGCAGGTATATTTATTAAAACATTTATCTTATCGAGAAAATTATTTCTCATTTCAATAAAAGTTTTATTAAACTTGCGAAAAATAATGTCTTTTGAAATTATAAATTTTTCTTCTTGAGGTATCCAAAGTTTATTACATAAATTGTTTGATATAATTCATATTAAATCCGAGAAACATGTTTAAAATTTTTCCTCTTACTTATATTGTCCTATTTATCATTTCTCTTCGAATATCATTGGTGATACATACAGCAAGCATACAGCGACGGATTTTAGCTGTCACAAGTATAGCTAGAACGGTGTGCACCATAATAATTGTAAACAAGTCCTGATCGCTGTAATGGCTAAATTTCTAGTTTCTCTCTCAATTCTCACTATCCTCGATTTGGCTGAGCATATTGTTACTTCGTCGAAATTTTGCATTTCCAATACTGCTACACTTTTCGTCGACATTAGTAATGTAATCGCCGCCCTTTCTAGTGCTACTAATTTTTTTAATCTACTTTTTGTCTACGTCGTTTCGACAAACTAATTTCTGTAGTTTTCTCAACATACCATTGTTGTTCGACAGTGCACTTAGCCAAAAGATTTGTTGTTAAGGCGTCACAAAGTAAATGTTCTACCAGTTTTTGGCACACAAAGTAAAGAAAGTACAAGCATAGGAGTAGAAAAGCGTTTATCGGGTACTTTTGATATATTTATGCAATCCACATGGTGAAAGTACTTCATACTTTTTTAACATGTACTTTGTTTTTATCGGGGAATAATACTAATATATCCTTTTGATAATTAATAATGCTATTGCTCCTTTATTGTTTTCACTTTTATCCAATAGAGTTGGGAGTATTTTAAAAGTTTTGTAACTGATTAGCCTTTCAAGGCTTGAAGCTAAAAACGAAGAAATATTGAAAATGATAGTGGAGGATATTTTTATATTACTTTCAGCTAACAGTTTAAAGTAATGAGTGTCTGCTCTGTCAACTCCGTCTCATTTATTTCATCAGGAAAATATCTTCGTAAGCTCGTCTTTTTCTTCTTCTTTGTTAATTTCTTCTATTCGTATTTCATACCAATGATATACAGTCAGTTTTATGCCGTATGATTTTTCTGCAGCAATTGTTTTTACTTAGAAACAAAAGGTGATATTCGTTCATATCTGTTGTTCTAGTATCAATTTTCATTTTGCATATTTATATCTGATTTTAATAGTTGACACTTGTTTCTTTGTAAAAAATTCCATTCTGGGGTAGAATTCTCTTGCTTTTTAATTTAATATAAGCATTTTTGGAATATTTTTTTTCACAGTTTATTAGAGATTTTGTTATTCGTATTATTTTGAACATATTACAATTGTAATATATTTTATTCGTACTAAAGAGACCCATCTTTATATACCAGAATATAAAACTGTTTTTAGCTTCTTTCAATAGTATGAAAGTTCAATTATTGTCTAGGAAAGAAGAATTTATTTTTAATGCCTTGGTTTAAAAAAAGTTTTGAAAAATTTTTTGCATGCAATTAGAAAAGTTTAGAGGGCTAAATTTAAGAGGATTTTTGAAATTATAGAAAAGTTAAAAGTGTTTTATTCTTAAGTTTCGAAAAAATTTCACTTAAATATTACTGACATTTTATCTGTAACTGAAAGAGGTTGAAAATGGTGGGGAATTGTAGGTGACTATCATTGTTTGCACTTCTAAGAAAATTTAAAGATTTTTTTGGTGATAATTCTGAAATCTTGGATTTCTTAAAAGCTAGCACTAGCATTTGAAAGAATGTTTGTGACTGATCGAGTGCATTCGATCATTTATTGTATCACTTACTGGTAAGCTAACAGCTTTTGCATGTTCATCCAAAGTCAGCCGAAACTAATCATTAAACATTTAATATATACACAAGCAATATCTTCTTGTATTTATGTTTAGAAATAAACCAAAGTAAGTTAAATATCAGTGACCATGATTAAAAAAGATTGCGTTATTATTTAGAAAACAATAGTGGCAATCTTTATGTTTGTTTTATATGTATAAGTAAATAAACAAATTGCTAAATGAGGTGTTATACAATTTAAGATACCAAATTTATTTAAATTTTTCGATCAGAAAATTAAAAAATTAAGAGTGTAAATATAGATGTGAAAAGGATTCAGATTTTCTACTTTTTGCTTTCTCATGCAAACTTTATTTGAAGTTTTTCACATCTCAAACAAAATGTAACCCATTATGGGGACTTTTTTTCAGATGATTACTCATTTTTCCTATCAAAAAGAGGTGTATTAAGTCTAAAAATTGCATGAGCGATTTTATTAGTGATGACTTGCACGGAAATACGTTGCTGAAGAAGAATGCATTTTGCATTTTTTTTTT